ACTAGTGGGTGTGTATGTGTGTGTAATGTGTGTGCAAGTGGGTCTGTGTGCCATGGCACACTCGTAGAAGTCAGACAGCAACTTTTAAGGAGCCAGACCTCTCTTTCCACTGTCCATTCCACAGACTGATCTCATAGCATGAGGCTTGCACAGCAAGTTCTTTTACCCGTGGAGCCAGGAAGATTGTTTTAACATTGTATGAAGGATAAAAGTATACCTAAGGCCAGACAGTTAAGGTTTTTGATTCCACTAGTTGGGAGGCAGAGACAGGCAGATCTCTATGAGTTCAAGGACAGACTGGTCTACAAAGTGAGTTCCAGGACAGTCAGGGCTACACAAAGAAACTCTGTCTCAAAAAACCAGAAAAGAAAAAAGAGGTATATAGGAAGATGAAAACAATCAAAACAGTCCAAACGTCCACCTTGCAAAGTCTCAATGTTAAATAATAAATAAACTATGTGAAAAAAAATTGGAACTACCTAAAATGTTGGGTAGAAAATTCCAAAGAGAAGGAAAGAAAAAAGAAAAAAAAAATATGTACAGTGTGGAAAGTTCCTGATAACGCTGTGGGGAGAGTGGCTGGAAAGCAAAGCACTTATGGCCTGGGTTTCTTCACTGGAGCACAATGGTTAGACAAATTCACAGTTTTAATTAAAGTACGGCTAGGTGATGAGACTCAAAAGCAGATGACAGGCCAGGCTGAGAGGCAGAACACTTGCCAAGCTTGTGCTAGGCCGTGGGTTTGATTCCCAGCATTGTTAAGTGCTCCCTGTAGGAAGACAACAAAAATAAAGAAAAAGCACAGAAGCGGGATAATCAAGACAGCGTGCAGCAGCCTTCGTGAAGAGAATGGGCACTGCCAGGCACGCAGGAGTGGACGCCGTCAGGCACGCAGGAGTGGACGCCGTCAGGCACGCAGGAGTGGACATCATCAGGCACGCAGGAGTGGACGCCGTCAGGCACGCAGGAGTGGACACTGTCAGGCACACAGGAGTGGGCGCCATCAGGCACGCAGGAGTGGACACCGTCAGGCACGCAGGAGTGGACATCGTCAGACACGCAGGAGTGGACGCCGTCAGACATGCATGAGTGGACACTGTCAAGCACACAGGACTGGACGCCTTCAGGCCCGCATGAGTGGACACTGTCAGGCATCTGAAATGGGCCAAGAGTCATGCTAGTGTTGAAACCAGATACCTGTTCTTGAGAAGTCTGTAGTCTATAATCTCAAACTGCTGTTAAGATTCCAGAGTATGAAAAAAATATATAGCATTGCCAGGGATGGTGGTACACGCCTATAATCCTAGCACTTATGAGGCAGAGCCAGGCAGATCTCTGTGAGTTTGAGGCCAGCCAAGTCTATATAGTGAGTTCCAGGCCTACCAGAGCTACATAATGAGACTCTGCGTCTTAGTCACGGTTCTGTTGCTGTGAAGAGACACCATGACTAAACCCGTTCTTACAAAAGAAAGCTCTGAACTGGGAGCTAACTTACACTTTCAGGGGTCAAGTCCATCATCATCAACGTGGGAACCATGGCAGCATGCAGGCAGACACGGGAGCAGGAGCTGAGAGCTACATCCTGATCTGCAGGCTGAGAGGAAGAAGCAGCTAGGCCTGGCCCACGTCCAGGGACAGGCTTCCTCTAACAAGGCCACTCCTCCTTGCCTTCTCAAATGGGGCCACTCTGTGATGACTAAGCATTCAAATGTATGAAACTATAGAAGCCATTCTTATCCAAACCACCACACTCTGTCTCAAAACAAAACAAAAAACCCAAGAGTATGTCATTAAATGTTACCCGATAGTAAGAGACTGCAGAGGCCTGGCCCGCAGCCCTGCCAGTGCGGGGGCCAGTAGATGAGCCTGTGTGTGGTGGGGAGATGGGGATGAGCCTGTGTGTGGTGGGGAGATGGGGATGAGCCTGAGTGTGGTGGGGAGATGGGGATGAGCCTGTGTGTGGTGGGGAGATGGGGATGAGCCTGTGTGTGGTGGGGAGATGGGGATGAGCCTGTGTGTGGTGGGGAGATGGGAGGGAAACAGGAGCAGGGCAGTTTGTGCACTGTGAAGAGGTGGAACTGGAGACGTGACAGCAATGAAGAAGTGAGAGGCCTGCGCTGCCCCCTAAGGCCCCGGTGATATCTGGACCCCTGTTGCCACCAAGGGCCATGTTTGGGTCTCTGCCCCTTCTGCAGCAGGGGTCTTGTGTTGATGTCTGTGGCCAGTGTCACCACCATCATGTGGACCTCCTTGGCCTGGGCTGCTGTCTGAGGCCGTGTTGATGTCTGAGCACCACGCTGAGCTGAACTAACCTCTTACTGCCCACCACAGCTGGCATCAGCGGTGATATGGAATATGGGAGAAATGGCCTGCCCCTTGCCTGGGCAGGGCAGGAATGCTAGGTGGGGGATAAACTTAGCTACCTCCCAGACTTCGAGCTGGCTCACCCTAACACCTACTCTGTCTACACACTGCTGGGGCATGTGAAGGGACCAACCCTACAGATCCATAGCCACAGATTTCTGTGACTCAGGGCAACACCAGAATATCTGAGAGGAATCTCAGGGAGGGTCCAGTATGGATGGTGTAGCAGAAGCCCAATAACTGGTGTCAAACCAGCCCAATAACTCATTGCAATGAACATTTACAAGTAAAGCTGGTTGGACAAAAGGGAGGACTGTGGGATACACTATGACACACTGCTACACCGTGACACACTGCAGCTTCCAGGGCAAGACTCTTTTTTTTCTGTTTTCTTTTGGGGGGAGGTGACAAGGGTGGAGGGTAGATATGGAAGAACTGGGAAATGAGTGGTATAAAATTCACAAAGAATCAACAAGAAAGTTATGGGGAAAATGTTATGCAATTTTTCTAAGAAAATATAAGCACAACTGCAAGAAAATGTAGTCTTCGAGCGCTCTGCCAGCGGCGTTTCTTTGTTGGTTTGGCGTGGCGGGAATGGAGGAAGGGATAATTTTGTTTTTGTTTCTTTGATATATAATTTGACAGTGTAGTTCAGGTTAGCTTGGAATTCAGTCTCAAACTGGTAGCATCCCTCCTGCCTTGGCCTCCTAAGTACTGCATTTATAGTGTGAGCTACCATGACTGCTTGCCACCAGTTTAAAAACAAAACAACACACCTAGTAGAGGGTGTCTAGGAGGAGAAGGACCAAGGACGAGTTCGCTAATTTAAGCAGAGGAAGATGGGGAGGAGCTTCCTATTTCCTGTGTCGTCATCTTTACTGAATTACAGTTATATGCCCCAAATCACAGCAACACAATGGTCGGCTCAATTCATTTCCAAAGCCGAAACATGTCTGTGTAACTGGCATCCAGACCAGAACACCAAGCACTGTCATCGTCCCCAGGGCATCCTTATGACTCTGTCCAATGAGGGAGCCCCTAGCCACCTCTCACCTCACCCCTGCTAATGGCTGACTTGACTTCCAGCTACATCTCTTCATTTTGTCCAAAGCAGTTCACCCATACGAAATGTCTTCGTTAAGGTGTAGGCTTCAGGCATTTAAATCATAACATTAGATATGATAAAATATAGATGATGAACATTCCATCGTCTCTTGTGGAAGTTCCTCGTGTTCTTTGGTGATCCATCCCTCCTTCCATCTTGTCCACATACATTTTCCGATCTCTCTCTGTGGGTTGTTCTGGTTTCTAGGATTTAACGTGACTGGGATCACAGATTACATACTTTCTTCCTGGAGGGCAGGAGAGACAAGGCACACAGCTCTAAAGGTAGAGTGTGCTCAACTTCGGTGCAAGAAGTCCTGAGAAGCCCTGAGTCCAACCCTCAAAACCATATGAATTAAATGTGGTAGAACACACCTGCAATCCCAGTACTCAGGAGGTAGATCAGGAGGATCAGAAGTTCATGGTCAACCTCAGCTACACAGTTTGAGACCAGCCAGGAACGCATGGGATAATCTTGAAATCCCCAAACCAGCCAAACAACTCCCCCCCCCTTTTTTTTCTTGTTTATTTGGTCCAGATTCTTTCACCTACCATCAGGATTTTGAGATCCGTCATGTTTCTGTTCCGGGCCCTATTCTTTGATGTTGCTGTGTGATCTCCTAGTATGAGATGGTGCCACCATTTGTTTTTCCATGCTCCTGTTGACAATATTTAACTGTTTGTGGCTTACGGCTTGTATAAATAAAGAACAGAATGTGTAGCGAAGTCTTTCAACACAAGTTTTCCTTTTTCTTGGGCAAATTCCATGACCAAATCATCTAATAGAGTTGTGTTTAAGTTTTTAAGACGCCAGACTGTCTTGGAACGCTCTCTGCCATTTTGTAAACTCTGCAGCAGTCTGTAAAGCCGCCAGTTTGGCCACATCCTTGCCAATATTTGATATTATCAGTCTTTCAAATTTGAGTCATTCTAATGAGTGTATAATCGGATCTCCTCGTGGGTTTTATTTGCATTTTACAGATGACTAGTGATGGTTAGCATCTGTACAAATTTATTAGCAAGTTTAGAGTCTCTTTGGTGAAGGTCAGAGATCTTTTCTTTTAAATGCCATGCTCACTAAAAAGAACTTAAATAAGTGTTCAAAGCCAGGTTGGCAAGATAGGTCCAAGGATAAAGGCACTTATTGATGGCCTAGGTTTTATCTTAGGGACCCATATGATAGAAGGAAAAATAGAGACCCATAAGTTGTCTTTTGACCTCCACCTGTGTGGTGTGCTACATGTGTGTGCCTATACACATGACTAATGAAACAAATGTAGTAAGAAGCTTAGGGCCGTAAGACAGTTCTGCAGGTAAAGGTACTTGCTGCCAGTCCTGGCACCCTGAGTCTGAGCCCAGAACCCACATGGTAGAGGGAACCCACTGCACAAGGTTGTTATCTGAATTTCACAAGCGCTTCACGGCACATGTGTATCCACACAGAGACAAACACACTCACACACAAAATAAATAGGTGTGATGAACGTTATTTTAAATTTTTAAAAAAAATCTTCAGGGCCAAAAGCAATGGGAGTAATAGATATGGTGTCTCCGGGTAAGAAGGGTGAGGTGGGCTCTCCAACACTCGCTGCTCAAGTCCTCCCTTTCAAGGGTGGTTACTGTGAGGAAGAGCAGCAAAAACAGCAGCTGCACAGGGCGTCCTGGGCAGAGAGGAGGAGGTAGGCACAACACTAGCCATCTTGGTGGCTTGATAAGAATGACCTCTACAAGCCCAACAGTTCCAATGCTCAGTCACCAGGAAGTGGCACTATTTGAAAGGATTAGGAGGTGTGGCCTAGTTGGAGGAAGTGTGTCACTGAGGGTGGGCTTGGCCAGGCCCAGTGTCACTCTCTTCCTGCTACCTGTAAATCCAGACGTAAAACTCTCAGCTGCTCCTCCAGCACAAAGTCTGGCTGTGTGCTGTGTGTTCTCCTGACATGATGACAATGGACAAAATTCTGAAGCTGTAAGGAAGCCCCGAATAAATGCTTTCTTTTGTGGGTTGCCGGGGCCAGGGTGTCTCTTCACAGCAAAAGAATACTGATTCAGACCCCATCTCTTTCCTTTTTCTTTCAAACTTACAAGTTCATGGGGGCAACTCTCTTTGTTCACTTTGGACCTAGAGAATTCCCAAGGTGCAGGACTTCCAGTGTCAAAGACAAGAAGTCCCTGGGAAATCAGAACAAGCTGGTCCAGGATAGGCCCTTCATTTCCCCCAAATGAATATGATTCTTTCCAAGTGTCTTTGTCAGATAGATGTAGTCCCGTGACTCCGTTCTCTGACCAGCGAAATTAAAGCAGAAAGGATGTATGAATCTCCAGTGTTGTTCACACTGAAGCAAGCCCCCATTTTCTCCCTTCCCAACTGGTTCCGATAAAGAGGTAAAAAGAAGTACGGGCAGAGCGTCTTAGATGGTCGGTAGGAAGCAGTGACGACAAAGCAAGGTGAACAATGTCACACCCCTGGAATCCCAGTACTGGGAATGCGAAAGTGGGAGCATGGTTAGCTTGGGTTGGTGTTGACCAAGGAAGATCTGCAGTCTCAAGAAAGATGCCAGGTCTTAATCATTATGGGCTGCGCTGGCCTGCCTAGCTTTTGTGTGCTCCAGGTTGTATGATCTCCTGTGTTTTGGGTCTCCTTTTCAGCTGCCTGCTTGAGGTAGCATGTTAGAGCATAGCCAGGGAGGCTGGAATGAGGAAGAAGAGAAATGTGTGTTAAACATTATGAACGCTGGGCGTTCTACTACTGGTTTCTTTCTTTCTTAAGATTTATTTCATTTTTAAAATTGTGTATATGTATGTTAGGGTATACTCATACTCACATAACCCCCACAATACACATACACACACATATGCATAATAAATACATCTTAAAAGGAAACATTTTTTTTTTATCACCGACAGATAGTACAGTAACCATGGGGTTGACAGATGGCATAGGACCAAGGAAGATAGTTCTTTTTCTCTTCGCTGCTAACAGATACCTGACAGGAAGAGACGTAAGGCAAGAAAGTCTTCTTTTGCTCACAACTTGAAGATTGGCGCTCCATGGTGGGGAAGGCCTAGTATCCCCAGCTCTGTTTGTGGTACTGGTGGGGGACCTGCCACTGTGACCTCTTACCTCACACACTCCCAGAACAGGAAGCAGAAACTGGATCGGAAGCTGTGGCCAGGCTATAAACCACAAGGCCACCTCTCTCCACAACTCACTTCCTCTAGGTAGGCCCCACCTCTCAAAGGTTCCACAAGCTTCCCAAAGAGAGTTGCCAACTGCAGACAGGGTGTTAAAACACATGAGGCCATGTGGGGCATTTTCTACCCAAACTTTAACAGCAGTAAACACTGAAGAAGACAAAATCAGAACCAAAGTTTTTGACACTCATGAATGTGTGTTATACTCTATTCTTCAAAAACAAACCCATCCAATTAGTTAAGATTCGAGAGAGGGGCTGGAGAGATGGAGCAGCAGCTAAGAGCACTTGTTGATCTCGCAGAGGACCCTGGTTCAGCTTTCAGCCTTCACAGTAGTGCCCCTGTGCCTCTAGTTCCAGTGAGTCTGGACCCTCTATGACTTCTGCAGGCACCAGGCAAGCTTGTGGTGAACATACATACATAGAAACCATAAATACAGTCCACAGGGAGACTGGCAACTTTCCTGATCCTTTTATAGTGATATAGAATATCACATTTTTCTTTTTTCTCCTTTTTTTGTTTTTAAATATTTATTTATTAATTATTTATACAATATTCTGTCTGTGTGTATGCCTGCAGGCCAGAAGAGGGCACCAGACCTCATTACAGATGGTTCGGAGCCACCATGTGGTTGCTGGGAATTGAACTCAGGACCCTTGGAAGAGCAGGCAATGCTCTTAACCTCTGAGCCATCTCTCCAGCCCCTCTCCTTTTTTTTTTTTTTTTTGAATATCACGTTTTTTATATGACTTAGCTTATCCAAATAGCTAAAGCTTAACAAAGTGAGAAAAACAAAGAAGCTAGACAAATATTACTGTGAACTCTAGTAGGCCCTAGGAGTTTATAAATCTATTTACCAAATATACCTTATTTATCAAACATGTTACATATCTAAGTTTTTTAAAAAGCCTAGTGTTGAACAGTTAGTAAAGATCTAAGTACTTAGGTACACATCTCTAAGTCAGCTTCTGATAATCTGAGTAGACCTTCATAACCTTAAAGTTTATTATCATACAAAAATAATTCCTACCAGTCCAAAATATTTTGGAGGCCTGCTGTTGTCTCTTTAGTCTGAAACAGTAAGTAGAAGGTGCAGTCGGACTAAGAAGTTTCATCAGTTGATTTGCACCATGTGGTCCTCTTAAGGTAGTGGTGAAGCTACAAGGCACATACTCTTTAACCTTAGTAAAGATGGCTGCCAATCACACAGTTGCTTCTGTACTGATGAGGTCATCAACCACGATGGAGGCAAGTCACAGTGCTGCTATTTAAAACATCTGTTTTCCTAGTAGATCTATTTTTTGAATAAGAGTTGGATCTAAGTTACACACACACACACACACACACACACACACACACACACCCCTTAAGTAAGACTTGAATCACATACAATATGCCATAGCAAATTAAGATTATCCATGTATAGATTTTTAATTAGAAGCTTTCAGTCGTAAGTTTAAAGCCAAATTTTGTTACGGATTTTGTAGATTTTCTTAAAAACCATTTCCAATGAACTTAGAAATCCTGAGATAGAATTTACAGCACAGTCCCCAAGGGACTTTTTTTGAGAGCAGAGCACAGAAAATTGCAAAGATAAAAGACGGTAACAGCAGGAAGTAGAGGAGTTTGGCACCGAGGAGGTTTAGAATGAGAAGATCTCCGGCCGAGGCAGTTGCTACTACGGTTTGTGAGAACTTGGAAACCAAGGGTGCCTACTTTTGGCCACTGAGCTGTACTGAGGCCAAGCTGTTTGTAGTTCAGAGGGGAGAGAGCGGTGGAAAAATGAAACTCTGCCGCAGGGAATTTCTGTACCACCAACAGGGAGCTGAGGGCAGGAGCTGCGGGTAGGAGCTCTGAGACTGCAGCTCCTGGGGGAGGCGAGGGAAAGCTAGCTGAGCTGAGGTGATGAAGGGTCATTGTCACAGGAATTTCCATCAGGGGCGTCCCCAAGAGGAATGGGAAACTAGTCAAGGAGAAAAATGTTCTAAATCACAGAGAAAAGGTGTTTCTTCCCATGTGACCAGGGCCCAACTTGGACAAGAGGAGTTTCCTGGCACACCAGTGTGGCCTTTGTAGTTATTTATAGTGGACAAATCAGGCAGCTCAGGGTGAAACTAATCCAGCAGAGAGAGATGGGGGGGGGGGGCGGGAAAAGGGAGACCGGTGTCTTTAGCAGAGAGACCCAGATAGGTGTGGCAGGCCAGAGCCAGAGAGATTGGAGACAAGGTCCAGGCGGGTGCATTGTGGGGTGCAGAAGGTTCTGGGAGTCAGAGAGATTCCTATGGCATAGAGAAGGCGAGGAATGGCTAGAACACATAGAGAGGAGAAGTAGCTGAGAAGGTGGACTCTGGGATTTGATAGATGGCAGGAGCCATCAGAAACAAATGATCCGTACATACTTTCGAAGAATCAAATCGGCAGCTTGATTCAGAGAGTTTTTCAGAAGAGAACTCAGATATGCCAATCCCATTCTTTTGGCACCAGATGAATGAAAAATATCAGTAAAAAAGGAAGAACACGACTGCTCCTAGGTATGGAGAAGGGTTACTGTCGATAAAAGGGAGAGCATAGCCAGAGGCAGGGACATCTGGGAGAGTCCAGAGTGAGCACGACCTTGAACCAGGCCGGGTGAGAGGAGGGGGAGAGAGGAGAGCCGGGAGAACAAAGTATAGATTAAAATGCCAGGTAATCAAAATGTCTGGATTCTATAGGCAGTCCAGCCCCTGGGCTGGAGAAGATTAGGGTATGGGGCTGGTAAGCCAGTCTTACCCTATAACAAGTGGGGCCGAGAAAACCTAATGGCCAGGTTTACTTTCATATGTTAAATAAACTTCCTTAGTTAACCATTTGTCCCAGTCTTGAGACCTAACACACATAAAATAAAATAAATTAATCTAAAGAAGAATCAGGAATGAGTTAGTATTAAGAAAATAATTGGATCTGGTGGTGCTGGTGCACGCCTTTAATCCCAGTACTCCGGAGGCCGAAGCAGAGGAATCTGTGAGTTCAAGGCCAGCCTTCTCTACAAAAGGCAGTTGGACTGGGACTTGTTAACCCTATCTTTTCCCTGAATCACAAAGGTTGCTAGCCAGGTGTGGTGGCTCATGCCTGTCTTTGCAGCACCAGGAATACCGAGGCAGGAAGAGCATGAGTTTGAGACCAGCCTGGGATACGTAGTGGAATCATTTCTTAAAAAATCCATTAAATAAAAAGCAAGTTTTAGGAAATAAAAGAATATAGTAGCATTTCCAGAACTAGGCAAACAACCAGTTTTAAAAGAAGAGAGGGTCAGAGTGGCGGTGCTCACCTTTAACCTGAGCACTCAGGAAGCAGAGGCAGGGGGATCTCCGTGAGTTCAAAGGACAGCCTGGTCTACGAGTTCCAGGCCAGTGAGGGCTACACTATTTAAAATAAAACAAGAGATGATAGTGGCTGGGGAGGTGACAGTGGGTAAAGGTGCTTGCTGCCAAGGTTGAAGACTTGAGTTTGGTTCCCAGAGCCCACACAGTGGAAGGACAAAACTGACTCCCCAAAGCTGTCCTTTGACCTCCACAAATATAGCATACATGTGCCCCATTCACACACATGCACGCACACACATGAAGGGAATAAGGTAAAGCGACGACTTCAGCAATAGCATCATCTAAGCACTCCAAGTTAACACGCATCTTAAATACCTCTCTCTCCTCCAGAGGACAACCAAAGCCCTGAACAACATTTGAAGTACATACATTTGCAAATGCGCCGAAGAGCTTGCAAGGCAGTAAAGAAGGCTCCTATGGCAAAAATAGAACAGAAGTTGATATCCACAGACGAAAGTCAGCCATGGGATTGGCTCTCACTTTGAGGCACCGGCTCAACCCTGCTAAACGTGAGCCTTCACGGGACGGCACTGCAAAGGATGAGAAACAGGAGCTAAAATCGAAAGCCTTCCTGATGTTCAAAGTGTAAAAGTGTGTGTCTGAGAGAAAGTAGAGGACCCCAAGGGGTGCATCATTGATGGGGTGATAGACTGCTAGTGAGCTCACCCCAAAGAAAGACTCAAAGCTGCCGTAGAACAGAGTCTTGAGCGTGTGTAATTCTCAGCAGGATTACACCTATGGGTTTTGGCCTGAATTCAAGCTGCCCAGGAGGTTTTGAAAACCCCAGCTTGAAAACTGAAAGTAGCCCCAGGCACCCGCAGAAGTAAGCCAAATCTTTTCTGAAAGAAGAAGCCTTGAAGTCAGGGCTCAGAGAAGTTCAGCAAGGATTCAGGAAACTCAAGTATTAAGGAAAACATAAGAAAAAGAGGTGCCGGGAGTGAGAGCCAGACAATCGCAGGCTCTTTCACAGACCTCGCTTGCTGCACTTGTCAGATGTGAAATGTTTGTTTGCTCTGTATATAGAAATAAAAAGGAGCATGACCTGACCACAGAGAACGCTATTACGAATACTCAGCACAACTTCACATTAAAACAATTTCAAATTTAACTACTGTCGACTGTCTGTGGAGGGGGCATCGTGTATAATTCTAAAAGGACCCAAGAGCCTGAACTAGATCTGCTTTTATATTGAAATGTAAAAATAGTTCAAGACTTCTCTGTGCCATGAATGTTGTTAGTAACAGTGAAGTTACATGTACTCTCCCTGGTTCTGATGGGTGCAAGTTAGGAATCCCCTCCCCCGACTGCGCTACTTAATGTTACCATTCTTCTAGCCTGCTCCGAAACTATCACCTAAACACATACTGCAATTCAGGCACCCTTTTGGACTAAGTGCTGCTACTGAAAGTCTTACTGATCTATCTGGAGATATTTTCTTTTCTAATTGAGGAAACTTTGGCTAGGTTGGGCAAGAAGAAGGGGAAGACTCAGACCACAAAGACTGGCAAGGAAAGAGAGGGTCACAGCTGACCTTTACGAAACAAAAGAGCAGTGTGACGAAGTAAGGACAGTTGTACACTAGCAAATTAGGAGAACAAAAGGAAACGAACAAGGTTCTAGAAAGAAGATTATCCATGTTGACTCACACCCTGTCGGCTATGCAGATCTGACTTCCCGGATAACCAGCTGGCGCAGGACAATCTCAGGATCAAGGTTTGTCTGAGTTACAGAGTGAATTGAAGGCTGGCTTGGATAATTTGGTGAGACCATGTTTCAAAAATAAAAGCTAAAAGGAGGGTTGTACATAACTCAGTGGCAGAGCCCTTGTCTAGTACTACACTGTAGGTTCAGACCACACTCACACACACACACACACACACACACAGTGGGGGAGGGGGAAACAATAAGCTAATAGACAAATAATGATCTAGTAAGTATAACAAAGCTGCACAGTGTGGTATCATACATAAAAATAAATTATATTCTATATGAGCAGTAATAAGCTAAAAAAATTTGACAAAATTACATTTGTAAGAACAAAATGAATTAAATACTTAGAACTATACTTTCTTTTGTGGTGCTGATATTTAACTCAGGCCCTCCTGCATGATAGGTGAGGGTTCTACTACTGAGTTACATTCCTAATCCCAATGTGTTTGGTTGTATGGTTGTTGAGACAGGGTCTATCTTCATAGCTCTAGTTGTCCTGGAACTCACCATGTAGACCTGGCTGGCCTCAAACACACAAATACTTGCCTGCCTTTGTCTCCAAGTGCTGGGATTAAAGATGTACGCAGCTGTGCCTGGCCCTAGGAATATAGTTTTAAAAGAAGTGGAAAAACTTGTACACTGAAACTGTCAGAGACCCTTGAGAGAAATTCAACGAAATCTAAATAAATAGAAAGACAGCCTATGTCCATGGATTGAGAGACTGTTGTTAAAATGGCAAAGATCATCAAACTGGCGTAGACATTCAAAACAACCCTCATCAACCTTTTCATAGTGACCATGATATGCTGACTCAAAAATTTACAAAGAGCTGGAGGGATGCAGAATAGTCAAAGCACCCTTGAAAAAGAAGATATTGTTGAATAATTCACACACTTCAAATCTCACTACAAGGGTACAGTAACTAACTACACAGTGTAATGTAAGAGCAGAAGCAGGGAGAAATGAAATAAAACAGATTTCACATGTAACCCCTGTGTGTTTACTGCTTTGGTGGGCATGGGCTGAGGATTAAATACCGTGAACTGGGCATGCTAAGCATACATCCTACTGCTGAGTTCACCCCTCACTTCATTTGTTAATTAGGGATGATTCAATCGTAAGGAGAATAGTCTTTCCAACACACAGTTCTGGAATAGACTTGTTATGCAGAGAATGAAATGGGCCTAAAATACAAAGAAGCGTTAAATCATGAGCACTCAGAGACAGATATACACAAATCTCACCTTTGATTAAACCACGTTTTATTAAATATGATGTGAAACAGGGAAGCAGCAACAGAAAAAGTGGGTTGTGGGGGTCCCTGCGAATGCCACAGCTGGTAAAGCAAAAACATGAGGCAAGAATGAAATCTGGAGCCGGGCGATGGTGGCGCACGCCTTTAATCCCAGTACTCGGGAGGCAGACGCAGGCGGATCTCTGTGAGTTCGAGACCAGCCTGGTCTACAAGAGCTAGTTCCAGGACAGGCTCCAAAGCCACAGAGAAACCCTGTCTCGAAAAACCAAAAAAAAAAAAAAAAAAAAAGAATGAAATCTGGTTCAGCATAACTCAGCAGCCAGTGCTGGTTCAAACTTCCAGAGTCTGTCCCAGGGCAGTTATTTAGACAAATTTAAGTACAGTAAATTTTTGGAAAAAAGTTTCCTGGCAACAATTATCGCAATCCATATGCACAATAAAGCTTAAGCAGGACCACATCAAAACTCTTTTGCAAAGTACATGTGACTTCTACCATGAAGATGGGGTCTACATCCCAAGGGCCTAGCATCTGGTGTGGCCTCGGTCATATGGATAACTCAGAGGTCACCAGGCTATAAAGTCCATGATGTCTCCCCTAAGGATGGGTTCCACTGACTGAGAAATAGTGCCCAAGACAAAGGTCTACAGAGAAAGAATCTGGAATAAACATCTGGGAAATTCGGGCGAAGCCTGGTCCTACAGATTACCAGGCAATTAACTTTATCCATTCCAAATCTTCCCCATGGAAAACAGGTATACATCCCTTCCATTGAAGAGACAAGCCCAAGGGGTGGAGACAGGGGATTCCCAGAGCAAATTAGAGAAGTGAATTGATGATCTCTGAGTTTAGTGAGTCACCCAATACCCTAAGTTGATCTCTGGCTTACCCACATGTACAAAATACACATACAGTTCACATGTGTACTCACACACATGTGAACACGTACTACACGCCCAAACAAGACACAAATACATAAAAGGATATAAATACATAGAAATGAAAATAAAATTAGCTTCAAGTCTCAGCTGTCCCCACAGGGTATTTCTAAATGCCCAGTTCCCAGCTTCTGGTGCTTGTTTAGAAGGCTGAGAAGCCCTGAGGAATGGGGTCTGCCTGGCAGGAAGAGTTCACTCGCAAGGAGACAGTCTATGAAGGTGCTGTTCACTCCTGGTTCTGACTTGAGCTGTCTGCCTTCCGGTGAACACACACGAACGAGCAGCGCCACACTCCCATCGCCACAATGGCAGGACTTTCGCCACCATCCCTCCCTTGCTGTGACAGTCTGGAACCCCCCTAAAACCATGAGCCCAAGTAAATTCTCGCTCCCTTCAGTTGTACCTGGTCCCATAAACACAAAAGGTAATTAGTGCAAAACATAAACTCCATAAGGGGATCTGTCTGTAGACCATATAGAAAATCTGTTACAGCGGTAGGCAGTCAGCACTATCAGTGACTGTTCTCGGTGCTGTGGTCCAGTGTGGCGAGAAAAGGGGACTGCAGAGAAACACAGGACACCACGGTGGGAAGGCATGATGAGGGGGCGTGGCAGGGCTGCTCACCTTGTGCAGTCAGGACACAGAGACAGGTGAATGACGATGCTCTGTTGGCTTTGTCCTTTTCCCAGCCTAAGATGCCAACCTGCAGGAGCTGCTTGCCCACATTCTGGGTGATCTTCCCTCCGTAGTTAGTCCTCTCTGGAGTCAGTCTCACAGATGTGCCCAGGAATACGTCTCCAAGATGACTGTTAATCCACCAAGCTGACAAGAGAGATTAGCCATCACACAACCCAATTTAAAAGTGAGTGAAAGGGGGCTTAGCTCAGTAGCTAAGAGTAGGTTCTGCTCTTGCAGAGGACCCAAGTTTGGTCCCCAGCACCTATATCAGGCTACTGACAACATCTAGAACTCCAGCTCCAGGAAATCTAACACCCTCCTCTGGACTCCATGGGCACTGTACCTACGTGCATATACTCCTTCCCCGCAATTTAAAAATAAAATGAAATTTTTTAAAACAGATAAAGGATTTGATTAGAGCTTTATCTAAATAAGTATACAAATAGCCAATCACCACATGACTAGATATTCAACATCATTAGTCACTAGGAAATTTATAATCAAAACCACAAGGAGGCACAACCGCCCTACACCCTAGGATGCGACTGTAATCCAGACGATGGGAACGATAGGTACTGGCAAGGACGCAGGAAAACTGGATCCCTCGCACATTGCTAGTGGGAATGTTAAATCATGCAGCAGAGTTGGAAAACTACCTGGCAGCTCCCCAAATGATTAAACATAGAGTTCCCATATTATCCAACAATCCTACTCCTATGTATAAAATAACCAAGGGGATTGAAAACATATGTTCACACAGAAATTTGTACACGAATGTTCACAGCAGTGTAACTCATAACAGCTGAAAAGTAAAGGCAGCCCACGTGTCTATCAGCTCGTGAACAGAAAGGTCGTGTGAACTGCGGTGTGTGCAACGGGCGGTGTCTACGATGATAGGGAGAGGAAAACTGACTTGGTGGGATAAACCTTGAGTGCATCCTGCCAGAGACAAAAAGGCTAAACTCTGGAGGAGGCTAGCTACGTGAAATGTCCAAAAGGACAAACTTAAAGAGAGGGGATTAATAGGTTCCCAGGCTTGGGAGGCTGGAGGATTGGGAACTGACGGATAACGGGCACCAAGTTTCTTTCTGAGCTTGTGACAACATCCTGGACATTGCTAGTGGTCATGGATACACAACGTGTGAATTTACTAAGAGGCAGTGGGCTTGTGAAAGGGTTAACTTTTTGGTATGTGAATTATAATACAATTAAACTGTTACAAAAGTAATAATTGATATAAAACAGTAGTCCTCGGCCTTCCTAATGTGTGACCCTTTAACACAGTTCCTCATGTCACGGTGACCACCAGCCATAAAAAAAAAAACTATTTTGTTGCTACTTCATAATTGTAATTTTCCTACTGTTATGAATTGTAATATAAATATCTGATATTTGACCCAAAGGGGTCACGACCCACAGGTTGAGAACCACTGATATAAAAACTTCAGTGAATGTATCAAATCATTTGAAATAATAAATGAACTGGAATATAAATTTGAGGATACAGAGCAGAATACAAAGATGGTACAAAGAGAGGAAAATTATACTAATTAAGAGTCAGGGAGAACAAATGACATACATAAATATCTGTGTAATCAGAGTTTTGGAAGGAAACAAAAGAGAAGCCATACCTGGTGATAGATAATCATTATTTTTCAGAATAATTTAATAAACGCCTCCTCCTCCGTATGTGTTGTGTGATGATGTTCTATGTATACATGTGTTTGTAGAGGTTTGCGTCCATGTGTGTCTATGTGGGGGCCAGAGATCCGCGTTGGGAGTCTTCCTCATCAGTAGCTTTCCAGGTTAGATTTTGAGACAGGGTCTGTCATTGAACTTGGAGCTTGTGTTTTCAGAGATTAGCTAACTAGCAAGCCTTTCAGAAGCACCTGTCACCACACCACCTCCAAAACACTGGGGTTCTGGTTGCACATAGCCATACCTGAGTTTCCAGAGGACGCCAAGGGTACACATCCAGGTCCTTATGCTCCTTGTCCTTGCATATCAAGCCCCGTGTCCACTGAGCCATCTCCCGGCAGTGAATCACATGAGTTCTTGAATTCAGGAAGCAGAAAAAAAATCTCCAGAAGAATTTTTAAAGGAAAAGAGACTTCTTAGACACTCCATATCCATCTCCAGAACACCAAGACTAAACTGAAGCTTTTGAAGAAGTCAGTTGGAGGACTTGCAAGCAACAAGAAGGACTAAATTATTAACATACCCTACACAGTTTGAATGGATTTCATGAACCTTAGGCTGAGTGTGGTGGCGGTGGGGAGCCATTCTCCAGAGGTCAAGGACAGTGCATTTGCATATTAAGAAAGCCACAAATGAGGCCGTGCACTGAGGAGCTTTAATAACAAACATTTGTCTCCTTACAGTTCTGGAAGCTGTAAGTCCCAAGTCAAGGTTCCGCAGAGGTAATTTCCAGCTAGGACCCTTCCTGGCTTGCAGGCAGCTAGCTACCTTCTTACTTTGCTTCCCCATGGGATGAGTCGGGGTGGGAGACAGGGTTGGGACCTTTCTTACGTCTCATCATTTAACTTTAATTACTACATAAAGTCTTTAGTTTCAAATGCAGTCAAATAAGAGGATTAGGGTTCTAACATATGGATTCTGTGATATAATCCAGTTCATAGCATACGGCATGATTCCTTTTATACGACACCCTTAAAAATACGTTTTGTCAGGCAAATCAGTAGTTGCTAGGGGCGAGGGACAGTGAGGGATTTAGATGTTATTATAACCAGCATCGTGAAGATTTTTGTGGCAATGAGACATACGAGTCTCGATATCAGAGGTGCTTATAGGAATCCGCACATGAGAAGCGGTGACACACAGAAAAGGACATGCACACGTCCACAGCCATGTGCCCTTTACTAGTACATACTAATAATGTATGACCAATAGGAGAAGCTGGGGGAAATTCCAAAAGGGCCTCCTGCAATATCGTTGTAAGTTGTGTGTGTTATAAATGTGTGTGAGGGTGAGCAGGCCCATGCGTGCCTTGTTTCCTTCAGACGGGGTCTCTTCACTGACTCTGACGCTCACAATTTAGTCTAGCCTGGCTCCCCAGCAAGCTCCCAGATCCACCTGGCTCCACCTCCCAGACAGTGGCGTTACCTGAACAGAGGTAATTCATGGCTTTCTTACGTGAGTGCTGGGCATCTGGATTTGCTTGCACAAGTCAACTCTCCAGCCCTATAACTTACTCTGAGTATGTAATTATTCCAAAATGGGAAAAAAATTAAAAAGTCAGAAATTTAAAAAAAATTCTGGCTAGAAAATAGAAATGTATTCGGAAGTTAGCTAACAGCGATGAGAAGGGAAATGCTGGAAGAATATCTTCAATGTGCCAAGGCAGCTGTTCATCCAGGATTGCATCCTCATGCAACTCTTCCAAGAGTCAAGATGAAATAAAGCTTTCCTGACACACAGTGACAGGACAGTGCTGATCAAACCTTTCCGCTGCTAACACGGAGGGCTCCGGGATTTCAGGGTGAGCTCTCGGGGAGGACGCCTGAGATCCGAGGAGCAATGGTGAAGGGTACATCAATAATCAGCACACGGAAAGACTGTGAACTCCCCAGCAGAGGATCGTGAGCTGGCTTGGTGGGAAAGGCACCTCCTGCTAAGCCTGAAGATGGAAGATCAATCCCCAGGCCCCAGGGCTCAGAAGGAGAGAAGCAACTCGCTAGAATTACCCTCTGACCTCCACACATGCTGTGTGTGTATCCCCTCACACAAACACACACAATAAATAAAACAAGAGCAATTCATCATAAACAGACAAGGAACATACAATCTCTAAACTAGTATGTGGGCATGACAAAACCAGAAATTTATTAGCGAAAAAAAAAAAAAGGAAAATAATGGCCCTACCATGAGCAATAGAAATGTGACCAAGTACAATTCTTCTTCCGTGTGTGTATGGTGCACGCACTTGTATGTGTGCGCTAGCAAGTGTTTGAGGTCTGGGGCTAATTCTGGAGCCTTCTCCTTTGTGCTCAAGCACGTTGCCTAAGGCACAGTTGCTCACTGAGTCAGAAGCTCACGGATGCTGGCCAGTCTCACTAGCTGGCTTGCCCTGCGGATCCTGTCTCTGAATTCCGAGTGCTAGGATGATGGGCAGCTGCCACATCTGCCTGGCTTTTCGGAGGGTCCTGGGGATCTCAACGTGGGCCTCCGTGCTTGCGTGTACCACAATCTACTGAGTCATCTCTCCAGCCCCCAGATACAATTCTCAGTAGGGTAGATTCAGTTAAGGAAAGGTTTATTGTAGAGTGGAGGAGCAAAAACCTATTCGAATGACACTTGCAGGGGACACACTGAACCGCAAAGTGGGGAAAGTTGAAAATGAGAGGCCTGGAGAAATATTACAGAACCACCGTGTTAGCATCAACAAAATGGACACCTGGTGAAACTAAAGACTCTAGATTTTATTGATTAAGGAAGCAGTCTCTAAGGGGAGGGGACAAGTGACCTCATCTACTGGAAAATTAGGATCTGAACGGATGATCACATGGTTGGGATGTCAGTGAGGACAATGAATCTTCAGATAAAGAAAAGGGCTTAAGGAACACACAATCCCCCCAGTCTCCTCAGAGTCACCACACAGTCCCCCAGTCTCCCCAGAGTCACCACACAGTCTCCCCAGTCCCCAGAGTCACCACACAGTCCCCCAGTTCCCAGAGTCACCACACAGTCCCCCAGAGTTACCATACAGTCCCCCCAGTTCCCAGAGTCACCACATAGTCCCCCAGAGTCACCACACAGTCCCCCAGAGTCACCACTCTTTTTCCCAGAGTCACCACACAGTCCCCCCTTCCAGTCCCCATAGCCTAACAGTGATTTCATTTTCTCATGACTGAGAGCTTTTCTGACCAATCAGGTATCAGAAGCAGTGCTCTGACATTGCCTTGGGTTATGAACTCTCTCTGTAGTGAGAAATCTAGCGTGTGTGTGCACGCGTAAACGTGACTGTATGTGCTGGGAGTGGAGCGTACAGCCCACACTCTCAAACATCCACTGTTCAGAATTGAACTGCTCTGCTTTAGGATTTGCTGGAGATCATTTGTCTGAGGAAATATAATGAGAAATATCCCTCAGGGGAAAATTTAATATTCTGTTTTATCTAACTGAGTCAGCAATCTTAGCTGTCCAAGTTACTAACAGATACTCAAAGAAATGCAAACCCTGTGAGGCCTCTGAACCTGGCAGAGCCTTCTGAGGGTGGGGTAGCTAGCAACTGTTTGGCCAGCGCTGCTATCAAAGCTGGTTCTTCCACAAGACGAAGCCTTAGCTTCATAACTATGAGATCAAGATCTATTAAAAAAAAGTTCACACAGAATTTTCTGGAAGGTCTTTGGGACTGGGTGGAGATGGAGCCACTCTACCTGTCGGCAGAGCATGGCCAAGAGAGTGGTGTATTGAACACACATCTCTAAGTATTTATAAGCCACACTACAGACCAAAGAAAATGATGTTAAGAGATCTCATAGCTTTAAAAAAGTATGTTCTTTTCCCATACATAAAAAATAATTTCTCCTGTATAAGATCTAGCCTGTTTACATTCCACTGAGGAAGGGAGAGGGTCTCATGAGGCCACACCCCTCCCTGAGGTTTATAACCAGTTAGTGGTTGATGGCAGAGGAAATGTGTTCTTGAGTAGTGTAGTCACTGGTGAGGTGTGCGTGATCCTGTCATCAAAGCTCACCCACATTCCTGTGAGTAACCCTAATGAAACACTGGGTCATTAAAAAAAAAAGGCATGGAAAGAGAAGAGGGAGGAAGAGGAAGGCACAGTCACAGAGGGACAAGAGAGAGTAACAGCGTGGCTGTGACCAGACAGAGGGACAAGAGAGAGTAACAGCGTGACTGTAACCAGACAGAGGGACGAGAGAGAGTACGGCACGAATGTAATCAGAAAACATTATATGCTTGTATAAAAGTCTAAACAAGAAATTGATAAATCAATGTCTGTAGACCATTCCTTGGTTGGTTGTTTTCTTTCATTGGAGACGGGTAGGGGTGTTGGGGTGATGTGCATGGCATTTGGAGGCGTGGTTCACACTGATTTATTTCGTTGGGAACCCTCTGAATGTGTTTTCTATCACAAGGCAGCTATTTCCACTAACTTTAAAAGATTCTGTTGTTTGTTCTTATTTACAGTGACGGCAGAAATCTGGTCTGAGGCCACATGTAGGACAGCCACAAGGAGAAAGCAAAACTGCCCACAGATGTAATTCCTGTGGTCCTAAGACAGAATGTAAGACCAGGCCCACAAAGTCAAACCAGCAACAACGAATTTCTCATTGCAGATGAAAAGCAGGAAAGAAAAGAACCAATTTCAATTCTGCACTGATTTACTAAGTAAACAGCCTGGTGTGAAACACTTTGAAATTTTTAAAAAATAACTCAAAATGAGAATAATGAAGAATTAGTAAGTAAAGTAACTCTACGTTTATACAAAAGAGACAAGAAACGGCTGTCTGTGTTCCATTTTCACAAAGTTGTGGAATATTTTTACCAGAAGATGGAAAAGTAAGTTACCTCCACTACATAATCTCTCCAGACTCAAAACAAATGACCAAATTCGATCAGGCTTATTAAGAATTCATTATTAAAGAAGCAGTACTCATCCATTCCTTTGGCAGACTATTGGCATCCTTACAGCTGGAAACTCTGAGAAGCGACTGTATTCTGTAAGCTCTCCACATCTTAAGAACTACCGATCATGTTCTAGGATAGGAGAGCACCCATTTATTGAAGAGTGTGTGTCGAACACCGCCATAACATGTCATTGCTCTGTGTTAAAGAGAAACCACCAAAGAGCTTCCTGGGAACAGAAATGACTCATTTGCAGAGGGATGAGAATCACAGGGACATTCGGATTTTCCAGCTTTACGAAGAAACACAACGGAACGGTGCCTTGAAGGGGCTAACGGAAAGTGGCTTGGGACATAGCATTCTGTGTCCAGCCAAGTTATCAGTCTGCGGCTCAGAGAGAATGGACTCAATGTTTAATAAAAAAACCATGCGAGTACACGCTCTAAGGAAAGAAAAAGTAGAAAAGATAATTGTTACAGCTCAGAACAGCAACAAGAAGAACCCTGCAGGCTATTGCTGGGCAGCAGCTGTGAAGCAATTTGTTCAAATTAAACAAGTAGTGAGGAGGCTTCCAGATGCGTGGATGTGATAAGAACGCACCACCTACTTCAGCAAACACACAGGAGTCAAGAAGCTCACAGCCTGCATGGCCGCTCACAACTGTAATCCTGACACTTGGGAGGCTGAGGAAGCAGAGTGATCCTAAATTTGAGACTAGCCTTGAAATCAGAGCGAGACCTTGTCTCAAAACAAAAACAAACAAACAAAAAAAACCAAGTTGTTATCAACTTATAAGAGGATGAAAATGATTTTTCCTGTTAAAAAAAAAAAAAAACAGGAAACTCCATTAAAAGTAAAAAAGCACAGCTCACATAAAAAGGTAAATGTACCAATATCCTGAATCACATGGAATATAATAAATGATAAGCTATTTGAGTTTGGATTCTCTCTCTCTCTCTCTCTCTCTCTCTCTCTAGACGGGGTGTCTCTGTTGCCAGCCCTGGCTGTCCTGGAGCTCAGTTACTATGTGAGGGGCACAGTAAAGAAACTGCCAACATGACTCCTCCACTATTGTGGGTGTGATGGCCATTCTTGGTTGTCAACTTGACCATATCCAGAATTAACTAAATCCCAACTGACTGGGCACACTGGTGATGTGGGAAGACCCACTTTTAACTCGGTCTTCTAAGGTGGGAAGGTCCACCTTGAATCTGGACCACACCTCCTGCTGGAAGCCCGGATGAAGGA